GCTGATGGCTTTCTTATGAAGAGCTTTCATTTCATGTCAGATATACACTCGGAGGGGTTGACATTCTATGCATGTATAATAAAAAGCACAAAAATGCAAGTTAACAGCCTGTTATTCTTAACAGATCCTGTCTTTTTTTTTTTTTTTTTTGATGATTGGCGACCATTGTGTTTATTTCTTACTTTTTTCATTTAGAGCCTGATGCCGATTAGATTTCTGTAAACGCGACTGGCTTATCGTTTCCTCCATGTAGAGAAAATATCAGACGTTCTCCTCTACATTTCTGCATAAATATCGATTCAAGCATTGAATCAAGTGAATATATTTACTGAGCAAAACAAGTCTTATTCATACCGATGTGATTGTCGACCCGGCTGAAATGTCATCTCTTAACAGAATAGACTCGAATATCCAGATGATTTTGCGCGCCGGCACTTAGGAACTCTAAACAGTAGTCTCGTAGTTATCCGGAAAAAATACTGTCTGCTGTTTAATGTTTCTGTCAGAAATATGCCCAAAAACATCTTAATGGTCCAACTTGTTTTTTCCCTAGCCACATTGCGCTCCATATGGATTTCAAAACGCTCGTCTTATACCCTCAATCATCATAACCTATTAACCAAGTAAGTTTGGGTAAGTAGTACCCAGAAGAACAATATTCCAAATTTGGTTAACAGTTTATGTTTCATGATGAAGAAACATAGAAGGTATCGAGAGATTGGAGTAAGGCAAATTTATTGATGGTAGAAGTTATGACATACAAAGAAAATAAAGCATTAAAAGTGCTGGTGCTAAGATATTTAATTATTAAATGAGACCAATAAAAAGTCATATATTTTGTCAAATACAGCATGAAAATGCTAAATATCAATCTCTCCTACTCCGAACGGAAATCAAAGGCCTTAATTGGAAAAGACATAATGACAGTGCTTATCTGTTGAATGGGAGAACTTGCGAAATGTGCTTACTCATCTGACATTTTTAATACCTTCAAATACGGAAGGACCGAAAAAGAATAGGTTAAACTATATTTGTCCTCTACTGGCGTAGAAACTTCTTATGCGAATACAGCGGAGTTAACAACCGTTCGAAATTCCTTTCTTCTCTTGGCTGTTTGGCGCCAATTTGAAATACCCAGTGCAGCCAGGTACTTCTCCACCTGATCTTTTAATTGGTATGAAGGTATTTATTTTTCTCCGCTTTCGAAGCTTTCAAAGGAAGATTGATCTCATATATTCCAATCCAAGGTAACACCTGTTGGCAAGAGTGATTTTGCGTTGAATTTCCAGACTGGCATTGGTGTTGGTGTTAATACTGCCACCACAATGGACGAAATTATCTAAGCCTTCACTGTTATGACTGTAAACAGTGACATGGGAGCTGAGTCGCGAATGCCACGACCATTTGTTTGATGACAGGAGATATTTGGTCTTGCTCTCGATCAGTATCAGACCATCACCTTGCCTAAAACCTAGGTTGATATCGAACTACTCGGGAAGGGCTTCCCTATCCGGGTGGAGTTTTTAGAGTAGCTTAACATCAGTTTTCCCTGACATATAAATTTTTCTGGGACACCTTATTCCTTCGCAGCCTTATTTGAAAAGCGGCCATCCATCAGCAGCCGGCGCTTTGTTGTTTGTTAAGTCGTCCAATTATTATTTGAACTTCGTCATAGTCGGGTAATGAAACATCTATCTATTCCATGGCCATCAATTGGGAAATGGGGTTCGCAATATCCTGGTGATGTACTTTTAATGCCTTCAGCAGGTTGGAAAAGTGTTCCCTCTATTAATTTAGTGTACTGTGGGCATCAGTCACCCCTGTGGGTTCTACAAAAGTCTGCGCCGGTCTTGAAACCTTTTTTAAGGCGCCGGATCCCAGCGGTTCTCAGTCTGGAGAAAACATAGCTTATAGACTTTCTTGAGCTGGGGATGTTCCGTCGTGAAGGCATGGATGGTGCTGTGGCAAAAAGGGTTGACAATCACTGATCTAGGCAAGGATTAAATCTGTTTTTCACAGCTCGAGCTTCTCGTATGCCGAGTTCCGATGACATTTCGTCTCCTACGAAAATCAGATCACGACGTAAACCTTCGTCCAGCGATTTAGGAGACGTAGAACTCGCAGCACAAAGTTCATATATAACATTCATCAAGGGAGACTCGAAGCTTATTACAGACCTTTTCTAAAGTTGTTACTTCTTCCTTGGACATGATGCAATGATGGTAAAACATATAACACTAATGAACCCAGCGTGGTTCTTAAAAGGATCCCCACACATTATGCTCGATACGGACAGTATTTCAGACATTTCATCGAGAGTTGAACATTCTTTCGAAAACAACTCTTTGGCTATAATAAAAAATAATCAACACTGCCGATGGGCTGCGTCAGGTATGTTCGACCAATGTTGCTAACACTTTTATTATTACTGCGATTACATTGTAATGCGATTTTTATTGAATTTTTCCGCACAAAAGACATACATATGTACATACACAAGTATGTACTGTGTGACAGCAATGTGACAAACCATTTCCTTTCGTCGTTCAGAAGCCGATGACAATGAAAGCTTTCCACGTCAAAATGAAAGCGGACAAAGGCACAGCGTGCGCAGGCAATGCAAAAGGAGTGGAGTACAAGAATGAAGTCAAACAAATATGGAAATGCATGAGGACCGTTTGTTCGTTTATCAATAAGGAAGTCTGCTGCACGAAGTTTGCATTTCCGTTCCCCGTTGCACTCAGCCCGCAGAGAGATTGGCAGGCCAAAGGACATACCAAAATTTTCGCCGCAGACAGCAGCACATTATATTTGATGTAAGGTAATGTAATTTGCAACAGCGCCATTTCGCCGGACTTATGGCATGGAAATATAGCGGTGACGTTGCACTTATTGCCATTTCTCTGAGTTATGAAATTTACTTGGATTCTATTTCCATTTCCCTTGCTTGGTCTTTACGCAATTTCTTGAGGTTTAGTGAATTTCCTGTGCTTGTTTACTTATATGTAGTCTTTTGGTTTGACGTCACTCTAAATTAATTTCGGAAGCCAGTCACGTACAAACGCTGAAACTGAAATTCAGTTTTTTTTTGCCTTTTAGTTTCAAGTAAAAATAGTGGAGGAAAGGCAAATGAAATTTCGTAAATAATGTTCCCTTTCCCCTTCGTTGCATTTTTTTTCTCTTCTTTGTGGCTTATTCAACCTTCTTTTGTTTGAACTGACTTTCTATCACTTTGATATTCGAATTTTTTCAATTTTTTTTCGTATTGATATTACGCAAACAGCTGCAATTAATGTGTAATCAACCAGTTGAGTAAATCTATCTGTATGTATGTCTTTGTATGCTGATGTCTGAACTTAAAAGCGCGAGAGTTCGGTTCGAGTACTTACATTGAACATTTACTAGTAGTAATCGGATATATATAAGATTAACTAGATATCTGATATGCAGATAAATGCGTAGATTTGTATCTTTCTGTCACATGAACTAGGAATAAACAAGTATACCTAGAGTCCAAAGACTCTTTTGTCATATATTGTATGAAATATAAGAGTCCCAAACTGGTTAAAATGGAACCAAAATACAAATGATGTAAAAAATATCCGTATTTTTTTAATCGATTTGGTCCTCAGACTTTATGGTGAAACGCATGCAGAAGCCAGCTGTATCTGGCGCATTGTAACCGCTGGAGCGATTATAGTTTATTCTAAGCCACCTCACTGATGAATGTTTACAAGAGACTTGAATTCGACCTTCAAATATACACTTAAAGCGTCTAACATCCCTCATCGAGGGGTGACTGCAAACAGAAAAATTAATTTTCTTTAATTTTGGATGATGGTCGGACTAGGACTCGAATCCGGGCCTTGCGAATGGTAGTACACAAGCGTATGTCTAATTGTATTTGTTCGAACCACCCTCCGACAGAAGGGTGATTGGTTAGTCGGTATAAGGAGACTTTTATGGAAATCATATCGGATATAGAGAGGAAGCTCTTCGACGCCGGTGATGGGTTTTGCACCTTTTATTCAGATCTCGTCTTATAATATCGATGTGCTCAAAGGTCCATGATATGCATTAAGGGGCCATATATAAAAATCGATAGTAGAGCCAGAGGACTTTGAAGGTCGATCAAACCCTTATTCGTATGTACATACATACCTACGATCTCCGAAAACGATGAGGACAAATTGTTACTGTGTCTACACCGGTGTACTGGATTTAATATTTCACTTAACAGTCATGAATTTAACTTTCGTGTTTAGAAAATTCTGTAATTAAGTTTATTTTCTTATGATCTGCGATTTGGACTCTCAGAAACTTTTCAAATGATAACTGGTATAGTTAAGACCTTTGTGAGACCATCAATATCTAGCCAGCATGGATTTTGCTTAGTACTTCTTTTTTAAATCACTCCTACCAACTAATAAATCCTCCTTAATGAGTTTTTCCTCTATTTTCTTGTGCTTATCATGCTGTCAGCTTCTTGTGTGCAGCTGAACTATCGCACAAAATGAATGTTCAAAAGCGGCAGCAACATTACAAGCATTTACGTTGAGCTGTTCGTCAGATTAAAGTGGGCAAAGGATACAAAGAAAATTCGTAAGCTTTGATGACTTTGATTTTGTAACTAGCGGTATTTTGATGTTCTTTTTATACATTTTTAAGCAAATGTCCCCAGTTGCACAAATTTAAGTAATAAAGATCTATATTTCAAGCCACTAGGAGGCGCTGGAGTCAAAATAGTTAGAAAATATTTATTTCTGAAATGATTTTAATGAAATTAGAAAAATACTCTGGTGTTATTACGAAAAATCATCCGCTAGTCCCAAATGATTTTACAGAACTATTAAATTAAATAAAAAACATACGCAGAGAGTCCACCTTGATTTTAAGGGCATGAAATAAAAAATAAATAATTGCAATTAAAATCGTCAAATCTCATATACACTCTACTAATAGTGTATTTATTGTACTTTACTCTACTCTTTAACACTCACCATTAGCATTGGCAGTCGCCTCCTTGCCAGCCGCAGCTGGATTACAATGCAAAATGTCCGATAAGGACAACGACGATGCGATCAACTGACGCTTCTCCTCAAAGTTTAAATAGTCCATGGAGTTGCTACGCTGCGGCGTAACGGTAATTGTAACAGATTTCTGCATTTTGGCAACGACACATAGCTGCTGCTGTGGATCCAACTCTTCGACATCCTCCTCAGCGCCAACAACACCACCGCCGCCGCCACCGCCGGTGTCCACCACCAACTGTGCGTTTGGCAAGTTAGCCAGCTCCTGTGCTTGGTAGTGATTTAAAAATTGGAATGGTGAAGCATTCGACTTATGGCCAGCATCGAGTATGGGCGCACTCATACTGCCACCGACCACCCCGCCGACGCTGTTGTTAGCAGCTATGGCTGCAGAATATGAGGGCGGCGATTGGACATTTATGGCTGGCGAATTGCCTGTGGCCGCTGACAACTGATAGTTGTTCTCATTGTTAATGGCGGCAACGAGTGTGGCCAAATTGTTGCGACTGTTGGTGGCATTCGTTGGTTGGAGTTGCTGGAGCTGTTGGTGTTGGTGTTGGTGTTGCTGATGCTGCTGCTGCTGATGATGATGATGTTGCTGTTGCTGTTGCTGAAGTTGCAGCTGTGAGACGCTTGGTGGCGATTGCGATAATTGCTGTTGTTGTTGTTGGAATTTATGTTGTTGCTGCAATTGTTGCAGCAGCTGTTGCTGATGCTGATGATGATGTGGCATATACTGCAACTGTGGCGATTGCGGCGGCGGCGGGTAAGCGGACGACTGCGAAGAGTTCAATTTGTTGCTGCGCATCGACATCGCGACGGTCGAGTGTTGTCGTTGTTGCTACAATTATTGCGGTTGTCTTTATTATTCTATAACTAATTTACTGTCGATTTCAACTAGGCAACTCAATTATCGGTGAGCTCATATATGTGGGCTCCTGACGGGCGTAGCGGTGCCCATAATAAGTACCTGAGCAAGGTGTATTTGTAATTTCACTTTTCACTATTTCATATATCTTTATTTCTCTGCTTTATTATTAAATTACTTATTTATACCTTTGTTGTGCTGTAATTTTCTTTTTTCTGTGCTCATCGATCACCAGTGTTGACACGCGATGGACTTTGTTGCAAACGCACACACTTACTGATACACAACTGCTACAAAAAGGTTGAATTAACCACTTTTTCTTCACTCGTTTTTTGGTTTATTATTTATTTATGTGGCACTGTGGACGAAAAGGAAACATTTATTTATTTAGAGTGACACCCAGCGATATTTATTTATCGGCGTTTTCGCTCGTTCATCGCCTTTTGGGCGGTGTTGTGACACTTTTAATTAATAATAAACACATGTAAACACTTTTTTATGGCGATTTTACACGATTTTACACGATTTTCCTCGATTTTACACTTTATTCGTTTATTGCCTTTTTTTAATGCAATGATTCTATCTGCTGGTGAAAGGAGGAGGATTATTTTGAATGTTCTTGTGCATGAAAGTCTCTTAATCAGGTTTTTATTGTCATATATTCTTCATTTATATTATATATTTATTTATTTTATATATTTATATACACATATGTATATGCATGTATGGTACCGAGTCAGTGCTAAACTAATATTTATTTAAACTGATAGATAATTAATTCCAAAATTATCCAAATAAAGCTGTTTCCCAGCTGCCGCCGAAATCTCAGATAATCCAGACCAGTTTTTAAGCTGACATGGAAGTTGTTCTGCAATAGTTTGGACACCTGTCATTGAAATAAAACCAAAATCGTGATAGACAAGACCTTTAATTTTTGAAAGAGTCCCATCCTACGCTAATATCGAAACGTGGGAGATCTGTTTTCAAAATAATGAAAATATTCTACAAAACTTGTAATATCGAAATTTTGTACTATCCAACGTATAAGAATTACAATTTTTCTAATAGTCCAAACTTAATCTCAAAAATATTGTAAAAATCGTAGCTGTGCTTTAAATGATTACAGGCGTCTTCTAATATTACTATTGATGGGTTTCAAAATAATCCCATTTAAGTTTTCAAACTATTCCAAGACTGAACCTAAATACTAAATAATGATTTCAAACTAGTTCCTAAAATGTTTGAAACTAATTCTTAAAATCACAGAATGGAACAAAAGTGAATTGTCGAAATTATACCTCAAAAGTAAAAGCACTGACACTGAAAAGTGCTCAAAGATCGTACTTAATAATATAATATTAACGGTACAACTGACCGTCCATATGTTATTACGGAAAGTACTGAAAAGCCAAGCCTCAATCTGATTATTTTAGGTCAGAATCACAAGCAGTTCGAAGAAAAATACATTTGTAGTAAAGAATTATTATCGTCATTTCATTGAAAACAAACATTCTAACTTTCCTTATTTTTTGTTTTAATTTCAAAAAAAAATTCTTCATTTTTTACCACTTGCAATCGCTTAGGCTAATTTGCCTTTGCTCAGCTCCAACCCATGTCCTTCGAAAAGCTCATTTGACACTTGCTAATTCGCCTGCTTTTCAAGTGTCATCGTACAAAACGTTTCCAATTTGAGTAATAATAACATCAAAAGCAAATGCATAAGCCATATTTGAGGCCACCCTTGGTAGGCGTTAGCATAGGAAAAAGGGGAAAAAAATTAAAAATTAAAAACATGAAACATCCCGTAAGGATTTCAACATGGAAAGGTGCTAAATAAATTCTCCTCTTAATCATTGTATTCCAGAGGGTTGAGATAAGGCGGTGAATATGCGTGTAGAAGAAGAAGAGTTCATATATAACGGCATATTTGCCATATCTTGAATTCATTAACCGCTCATGTGGTTGCATTTAAAAATGTTGAGAATTTTTCCTTTCAAAGATTAAAAAAACACAAGCAAAAAAGTGTGGCATGAGATTATTGCACTTGAGGTTGAAAGCGCACACTTGCCAACTCTGGTGATAAAATGCCTGACAGCGAATGCGAAACACAAACAATTCAAAAGCAATCAACTTGCACAATGGAAAATAAAAGCTCCCACTAGGGGAGAATTAGAGAAAGAAGTGAATAAGGTTTAAAGTCTAAGAAATAACGTCTATTTACTACTAGGGATATACGAGTAGATATAGATAAATGAATAAAGAAAATCAGAAAAAAATTTAAAATCTAAAAATTAAAATAAATGAAATAAATTTAATTATTTTCGGCGGACAACTTCAGATAAAACCTTCTCTGCCATCTCCCTACCAAAAAACTTTGTTATTGGATATATTAATATATATTTATTTGAGAATTATGAATTTATTTCAGAGTTACTGATTTTCGATTGCTCACACACTCGGATAAACATCTTTTGGTTAAACACACATATATCCGTATGCCCATACATACATATTTCCATGTATGCCTGCCACATAACACAAATTGACTTTGTAACGAAGACAGGAAATGGAAATATAGATTTAAAGCATAACGTCTAGCATTCAGATCACGTTACGGTAATATGTGACTGAATGAACGAATGAAACCAAATAAACGAATAAGCGAATGAGAAGTAAGGCGAGGTGAAACCCAAAAGATACTTGCGGATTAAATGATTGCAAAGCCAATGCACACACGTGCCCCTACTAGGGTGTACCTACATACATACATACATATGTATATAAACATGAAATCAGTCAATATTACAGCCATACATACATACTTACAAATTCACAGGCGCCTTTTCACCCATATTCATAAAGTACTAACAAGATAATTTTAAGAATAATTTGCACATGTAATATACGCGGTTTTATTGGCTCAAAAGCCTGCAGTATACTCACGTATTCAGTATTCGCAATCAAATGCCCAGCTGGCAATCGAGCAATCGAGCAAAATGTGGCGATTTAATGAAAGAAGTTTACGATGATCATGAATTGCATGCTGTTGAGATGCGCCTACGCGCCGGAAAACTTAATGACTTTGCGCATTTTCTTCAGATAGATGATTTTATTGAGTCCAATATACATAGATGTATACGCACATGCATATATAATAAAAACTTTGGATCTTTAATAGCATTTCTTCCTAGTGGAAACAATAATTTGCAATGAAAACTCCGTAAAATATCGATAGAAAACGCAGCATGGACAGAATTAATTTGTATAATAAATAATTTCTGTTTTATTTCTATTGATTGTTAATTAATTTTAGTTTCAGTTGATTTAATTTTTAATTTATATATTTTTTTACTATAAATTTAATTAAAAAATTATAATTGTTGTTTTAATTTAATTTATTGATTTTCCTTTTTTATTTTTTTTTTTTTAATTCAGTTTTTTTCTATTTTTTCCTGATTTATATTCCATTATGCTCATTTTGTTTCACATTTTATTTTTTTCATAGCTTTATTGTTTTACATTTTGTTTCATTTCATTTAATTTCGTTTCATTTCATTGCATTTAACTTCGTTTCGTTTCATTTCATTTCATTTCATTTCATTTCATTTCATTTCATTTCATTTNTTTATTTTATTTTATTTTATTTTATTTTATTTTATTTTATTTTATTTTATTTTATTTTATTTTATTTTATTTTATTTTATTTTATTTTATTTATTTTTTTTTTCTTTTTTCTTATTTTATTTTATATAAGGTTTTTTGTATATTATTCTATTTTATTTTATTTGAAAAGAGAAGTCCATAGGAAAGTGTTTTAGTTCGCAAGAAATCAGCCTTTTTATGAGTATATGCACAATGTATGTATGTATATACAAATATGTTATTGCCCTACGACGAATTAAAAAATCAAAGTGCCGTATGCACCTAAGAAATAGGATAGGAGTTGAAAATGGTAGAAAAGTAGAATGAGGTTAATATGTACATATGTTAATATGAAGTTGTGACAATTGGCGCTTAAGGGCTTTGGCTCACATAAATCTCTAACGACAGAAATCAGTCAATGTATGTACATATGCATCTTTATATGTACTTGCCTATAAGCACATGGCAATTAAGTAAAAGCTCGGCAAAAAATAAATAGAGCAGAAGCAAGAACGCTGCAAAAACACATTAAAAGCAATTAGAAAACAAAGGCACATCTGAAGCTATGTATGCGCTATGCCAAGCATTGCCACTGATGTGGCTTTGACAAAAAAAATCAACACATGAGACTATACGCACATATATGCACATAATAGGTAATGAAGTTGATTAAGAAAAAGTAAATCATCCCATATAGATGAGTAGAGCTTGTTTCCAATTTTTGAGAAGTTGTGAGTTTTCAAATGTAAATCCTAATTACAAATCGATTTGAGATCGGTTTATTTTTCCAAACTTTGATTTTGAACTGAGGATATCTGGAGGTCTCGTTGTGGCATTACTTAAAATGCTTTTCATATAAAGTTGTTAATGGTTTAGGAAACGGTATGTAAAGATTGATCCAACATCTGTGAGAATGTTAAAAATACCGTAAAAAAACATAATAACAGAGTTAAAATGTATATACATATATGTTTGTTATAATTGAGAAAAGAATGATAGCAAAAAGTAAAAGGTGAGGTTAGGGCGCTGGTGGATTTGCTAGCGGAGCGACCACCAACTAGAATTATATCAGTTTAACTTTCCATATCAACAGCTGCACATAGTTAAGTTCTAGAAAGCTTCGCTGAAAGGCACGATATCTATATAAATTTTTCTTAAAAACTCCTAGACTTTGAAACGACAACGATTGAAGTAGATTTAAAGTTAAACACGAAAATCAGATATCAAATTTGCTAACTTATTGTTCATAGATAAAAAGAACATTAACATAGAGTCTGCAGCGTCTTTTTTAATGTTGTATTGCTTTTTGGAATATTGGTTATCCAAATCGGCATTACAGCGGGAGTTTTGTATTTTCATATAAAACTGATCTTCGAATGCACTCACATATCGTCGCTTCGCTGCAAGTATAGCTTAATTGATTGAGGCGCCCTTCATTCGCAGAAGCTTAGCAGACGTAAAAAGCAGAGAGCAAAAGTGTCAGCGAACTAACCGACAAACTGCTGTCAACTACTGACACACTAAATTTATTATATGAAAAAAATACAGACAACAGCTGACTGACAAGCAGACAGACGAGAACGTATATAATTGTATCAGTGAATCTCTGAGTGCAGAACAAGAAAAGGAATGTTTTCAAGTAACCAACAAAAGTGGTGGCAAAACAAAATGCGAATACGAAGAATGGAGAGAAAAAATTAATGAAAAAATCCGCATATTAACAATAACAGTCAGCCACGCGAAATAAGCGTAAAGAAAATAAAACAACAAAATAGCACAGTTAACAGCACGTTTCAAGCCATGGGGAACTTAAAAAAAGAACAACAAATTGTGTGTAATAGCAATAGGCTGCGGCTGTGGCTCAGTGGCAGTTTGAAGAAAATTTTAGTTCAATGAACTCATAGTGCCATAGTTTACCGACTTTTTAAACACCCCAACTGT